ATTTTTATTTGAAACTTATTTTCGTAAGACCGGTAAACTAATTATAGGCTTTTATTTTTAAAAATATTCTTTTAATAAACAAAATCGCATTTCTTTAAACATTTGGCAGTTTTAGGAATTATAGTGCAAAAACCTAAAACTATAACTCTTATCGGGGGACGGAGTCCTCGAGAGGTCTAAGGCGTCGGTTGCGACGCAGCCATCGCCGGATCGATTCCCGGAAGCGGGTGACATTTTTCTTCGGTCAATAGTCACGGTGTCAGGAGAACAGGTGCCGCCATCCCCCACCCGGGCATGGCAGATACCTACGGGTGCCCAAATCAAAAATTCTGCCAGTACCACAGGCTAATGACCTCAGTAATCGAGGACTTAACCCTAAAAAAAAAATATATAACTCTTATATTATGATAATAAATTAAGAGTTAAGACCGCTTTTGTAAATTATTATTTCCCATATAATTTTACTTTGAAACTTTTTAATCTACGACAAAATTAAAATTGAGATAGGTATTGACAAAAAGGTATAGTTTCGTGAACATAAACTCGAATAATCTTTTATATAGTGTTATATCGATGGGGATTTTTCACACATTGTTTATAACGGCGTTTTAAAGGTGTATACTGAAAAAATGCAGCTTGTTGTAAATTTTCTCAAGCTAAAGGTACCTATTTTTTGTCTAATTTGACTAGGCTATTAGCAATTCGATTTGAATTTATTTATACTTTATAAATGAAGGTACATTGTATAAAATCCTTGATATTACAATAAGGTTCTCAGAAACAATTTAGCAAACTACTTTTAATTGTATTGATGTAATGATAGCCTATTATGAATATTTCTGTACATACTAAATAAACTATTTATAATCAATGATAAATTCTAGTACTATACAGAGTACTATAGTATTTATAATCAATGCTACTATGTACTTTGTAACGGGCAACGGCCAATGGCCACCGCAGCATGAAACGTCTATTATAATATTATATTATTATAAAGGTAACATTATATAGAAAAAGTACAAATACCAAACTATAGTTATCTTTGCTAGTGGCCAAACACTTATAAGTTGGCACCGGCCCACTGTACTATATTAGTGACACACTGAGCCGATGACAAGCGATGAACAATAATATTATACCTAGACCTGTTGACTAAATAATGTTGAATTTTAACTTTTAATTTCATTTAGTTTTCAATATAAATATAAATTCTGAATATGATTAACACGCATTTTTGACTTCAATATAACTTTTGTTTTTGAAAAGGTATTTAACGATTTGTATCGATATTTTAAATCAGTTTTTAAATCGACTTCAAGCCCTAAGGTATACTATAGAATATATTTGAATGGCATTAAGGTGTTCGGCTTACATAATGGTGTCAGACCATATTTGAATATTTTTAAAAAAAAAATTGTAAATGAATTATTCAATTTTGCAAACACTCACTTACGAAAAAAAAGTTTAATTTCGGCTTTATTTGCCATTGTTACAGTCTACAGAATAGTACCCATTATAATATTATAGCTTGTTGTTCAGTATTCCGATTGTAGTAATAAATGAATAGATAACAATTGTACATAACAATAAAACTGAATGAAAACTTCATAAATATTAATATAGAACAAAAACTAATCAAACCACATACGAGTTAACGAATTTCAATATCAAGCTCTTAGCCCGTCGTCAATGTTATAATTAGGACTCGGATTTAAATGCCCCGTAAATATCGAAAAATTTCCTCTCAACAATTTTATTTCTGACCTAAAAACTCTAAAAAATTCCCCGGAATTTACCCTGGGTTATTTATTTAATACAATATTTGTGTTTATGTTATATGATGTTTTAATTTTTTTTTTATATTACTAAAAAATGTAATTATTTTAAAAACCTAAAAAAACAAATAATGCCTTATAGACGATTTAAAATGCACTTAAACGTCAAAAACCTCGAATAATGCAAAAACTTCTCAAAAAAAGTTTGTAGTTAGCATAGTGTGTACTTGAAACATATTTGTATTTTGGAAAGCAATAAAGTATACATTATTCAATTATTCCAGAAAAAAAGATACAAATGCATTGAAATCCGAGCCTCCAACTTATAAACATATATTTTCTAAAAATAACGGAACTCCTCTTTTGTTTAGAAAGTTGAATGTCGTCGGTCTTATAATTTATTCGAAAATCTTCTTTACAATGTTTTCTTATGCTAATGAAAATAATTACAAAAAAACATCTCCAACGCATCTTAACACACACACACACACACAAACTTTAATCGCTTAGGCCTTGAAAGATAAAATGAATAAATATTTAATATGCCCATGTAGTCTGTAACATAATAGACAATACTGCATGTTTTAGTTTTAGATAATATATTTTTTAGATTCGAGTGTGGAATTTATTATACTGGTTTCACATATAGGTATATGTTTTTATTTGTCTAAACGTATATTATATATATACATAGTACCACTATTCAGGGTAAAAGATGTTCCATTACGTCTACAAATCTGAATATATTAGAAATTGTATCTAGTAATGATGGTCGGTTTTTGAGTGGGGACAGAATTATTTATATTTTTGTTTTAATGAACGTATAGCTCATGAAGATACAAAAAACTCATAATATCTAATTTCATTTACGGAAACTTATTTTTTTTTAATTTAATCGGTTTATTTCATTAAACTCCATAAATATTTTTTTATTATCCTCGAGCAGATTATATATCTTTACCAATAATTGCTATTATTTAATTACAACAAGCAATATTATGAGTATAAAATATATTATATTAGCTGGTGCATTTCAAACTTTTTTTAAAACATTTCGAAAATGATCTTATATTTTTGAGTTAAATACAGAATGAGTTATTATCTTTCATTTTATTTTTTTCAAGTTTTCAGTACTACTATCATTATAACTCGTGATCACTATCAAGGTAAAAGCAGTTCCGTGTAAATCTATATTAAATCTGTATAAATTATAAATTATGTTAAGTACCTAATGGCGTCACCTACATTTAAGGTAACGTATTTTTTTTAATTGCATTGGTTTTAGTTATTTCGTAAATCTTCACGAATATTATGATATCCTAAATAATTTCAATTATTTAATTATAACGAGCATTCAATATATTATATTTTAAGAACCATAGTAGCTGATTTATTACAAATTTTTTCATGTTTGACGTTATATACATACATAATTATATTTGAAAATCATAAAAACATGACCAGCATTTTAGATTTAAATTTTTGAAGAACTACCTTACAACATAATATCACCCAGTGGGTTAAAACATATTTTTCACTATTGTATTTCCTGATTTTCTGCTAGTTATAATTAACCATTTTACGTTAGTGTATAACGTAATATTTTCAACCTTATACTTTATTACCGCATTATAAGTAAATATAATTCTACAACTATTGACTGAGCGCAACAGCCCAATAACCAGATTGGTTGACTATTTTTTTCTTTTCGAAACGTGACTTATCTATACGATTATATCAGTGACTATATTATAATGCGGGAAAAAGACTTTATTATTTCGGCGCAACAAACATAACATTATAATATCATAATATATGCCCAAAAATTTCCCACAGAGATATAACTGTGGTAATGGATTTATCTTGTTTTCGTATATTATTATTATTATTTGTTTTTTTGGGAGTATCTATCAGATAAAAACCAGATAGGTATCACTACTGGAATAATATAGTAAGAAATTACATATTTAAAATAATATACCTATTAATTTCATTTCACTTGTAGGCAACAGTTCCATTTGAATCCATAATATTATAAATAAATTACTAAAATCCAGATACCAAAATACTTATAATTTAAAAATATTAAAAAGTTTTATTTTTGTCCTGAAAAGATTTGAAAAGCGTACTAAATCGTCTGGATGTTGCACATCAGCCACTAAAACGTCCAATAATAGGTTTAGTTAAATAATTAGAATAAATAATATATGTATAATAGATATAATAGATATGTATAATAGATATTATCTATTAATTTTGAAATAACGAAAAATATTATTTTTGATGAATAATTTTTTTTAGTTAAAAATAATTTATAAAACGAATTGTCCTGCTGGGGTTTTAACAAAGTTAAAAAAAAAAACAGTTATATTAACGGACTTTTTAAACTAATAAAATGTTTACTTACACTATTTAATAGGCATATTTTTATAGGCAGGTACCTATACCTACTTATTAATTTAGAAGGAGCTCATTCAGAAAATGTATATTTCATTATATTTTAGTCTAGTTATATAGATAACTTAAGGTTAGTTTGAAATAAAAAATTTTCAAAATGTATAAAATTAAAATTAAAAAATTTATTAAGTTTATGTTTTTGCATACTTTGATGAAATATTTGATTCGTGTTAATGGCGTATTTTACGTTTATGACCTTAAACATTTTAGGACCTACTTCAGATTATTTGGATATAAATTCACAGATATTCGTTTTGATATAGTAACAAACAATATAACACAGGTTCAAAAAATTACTTCTTTTAAATACAATATGCAACTTTATTTAAAAAGCAAACTTTTACCTTTTTTTGCAACTCAACTTTATTTATTTATTTAAAAATGTAATTATACGAAAATTATACTACAATTTTACGACAATTATACTCACAACTACTATTCACATATGCCGTATGTATCTCATCATAGAAACTATAATATTATTCTTAATTGTAATATTTAACACTCAATGTAATTATTAAAATTACACGTAAGTACTACGCACCTACCTAATTAAACAATTTTTTTGTGTGTTTAGGTGCTGTTTGAGTATTAAAAATCGGCAACATCAAAAGATACGTCAACGAGTAGAAGCAGTACTCTACTAATAGAACACAATAATAATACATAGATAACGATTTCACACAACCGCGGAGATCAGGTTTTCCATCTATGAACATTAGTTTTCTTCGGAACTTGCTAGAATCGAAAATCATCAGCCAAACAATGAGTCAAGTGAAGGAGATACACGACTTGACGGATAGCGAGGAAGGCCAGCAGATCATGAAGAGCTTGAACCGCTTGAATTACAAGCAGGGAAGCAGTGCATTCATCGAAACCGACCACATACTACGAATTCCTACTCCAGCGAAGAGGCGACAAATCGAATACCCGAACTTCGATAGGCAGTACATACAGAACATCAATATCCCGTCCACTGCTAAGACGGAGGGTGACAACGACCAAAACCTAAGCCAAGACGACAATTATCACTTCCTGATGAGCTTATTGCCGTACCTGCGCGAAGTGCCTAAAAACAGGAAAATGGCGATCCGACACAAATTGCAGAGCGTGTTTGTCGAGGAACAGGAGCGGAAAAGTGGAGGTAGAAACATTAATGTGAACCACTCCAACTTAAATAATGTTCACACGCCGTTTGCCAACATGTCCATGGTGAATCCCATGAACCAGCAGACTCCGAGGCTTCCACCACCTCCATATCCTTATAAACAAAACGTCTTCCACAACTATGTTCCGTCGGCGTCGGTGCAGCCAATGCCAAAAGCCACACCCTCGACGTCTACGCTCCTTGGCAATCTTATCGTCCAGCAGCAGCCGATTTTTCCGGAACACCCGGTGTCGGTCGGTCTGCCGAGTGAACATCAGCAATCCTACAACGCTAAGGCCAATAACCACGCCAACAACAACGGCTCTTTTGGCTCCAACGCCCCCGCCATGCACAACAACAACAACAACAACGCCAATAACAACAACTACTATTTTGGCTACAATGCCACCGCCATGCACAACAATAACGCCAACAAAAACGCCAACAACGCCAACAACAACAACAACATCAACAACAACAACATCAACGCCAACAACAATGCCAACAACAACAACGCCATCAACAACGCCAACAACAACAACGCCATCAACAACGCCAACAACAACGACCCCTATGTTGGCTACAACGCCACTACCACCTTGGACAACAACAACAGCCTATATTATTTGTAGTGAGATTGGCTCTATTCGTGAGACATAACGTAAGCCTAGCAGAGGTCTTATGCCTTTTTTTTTTAATATCTTTAAAGAAAAATCTAATTAAAAATTATAATATGCAAACTCATACAACCTCTAACCTTAGACTGTATGCATATAATAATATTATTATATTAAGACATATTTTTCCATCGATTTTTTTTATTTATATCATATACTTTTAAATGGGTGCCTGGCGGTGGTCGTTTAGGGAATGAAATTGTTTTACTTGAGAGAGCTATATGGACTTTGATAAGCATGTGATTTTATTATAATAATTTTTGACTGAAGTATACATTAAACTATGTTAAAATGTAGGTATATTATAAATATAATTAAACTATAAATCGATATAAATCGAATATTCTATACCTACTGAATTATTTGACCAGTTACAAAAAAAAATTAAATAGTAATTAAAAAATGTGTACAAATAATTATATTATATAAGTCCCTAGTCCAAGCCTAGTGATTTTATTTTATTGATTTTTGACTGAATTGTACATTACACTAAGTTATATTTATTTATATCACTATAGGTAGGTAGTAATTATCATCGACAATTGTTTACATATTACCTATGACAACGCGTCGTAAGCATTTAAATTACTATATACTGCAGTAGGTATATTTTGTATAAATTAATTTACTTATAAACCTTAAGTACAAATAACCATTTGCTCAAACATACTGTATTTTTAGTGTATTATAAAATAAATACTCTCTCAAACTCGTTAAATTTTTGCATGCCTATTACACGATTATAATTAAAAAATATAAATGTAAAATTATTGTAAGTCCTACAATATTATATAATTACCTATATAAGTATATATTTTAAGCATGTTATTCAACTATTATATATTTTTAAAATAAGGCTTTTGATTCCTATATGGTATATAATATAACTCCTATAGTTATCACAAGTTCAAAACAAATGGTTTAACACTGTGATTGTAAATCTACCTATACAGGTACCTATAATAATCAATTCCATTTGTTTTGTTATATTAGCTTGGATACGTCCTATATAAATAAAAAATATGATTTCATATTTTTCATTTTAATTTTATTATAATTACTCAACTATTATTATTGTTTATTATTTATTTTTTTTTAAGTTTTCCATATTTTTTATTATTATTTTTATGCCTTGCCCTTTTTTTTTTTTTTTTTTTTTTAATAGTTTTTTTAATCAAACGAATAACTTATAATTTACAATCATGTAATATTATTACTTTGACAAGCTTCTGGAGTTTCGTCAATAGACGGATTCTCTCCACTAATTAAAAAGTTATTATTATAAATATTTATATTTTTTGCTATTATTATTATTATCATCATTTATTTATCAATAAACAATACGACATTTATTATTTGTCAATCTTATAATAGTTTTTAGTTAGACATATTTTGTAATTTAATCCAACTTTCTTCCTACATTAGAGTATCTAATTTATTTATCATAATATATGTTACAAATTGTTCGAAACAAATTTCAAATTAATATTTGCACCATAAACGTGCTAGTAAGTAGTAACATGCCAGCGATCAGGGTAAACGAAAAAATAAAATTATCTATGATGATAATATGATATCTATAATCTATTATATATTATATTGGTTTTTGGGGATAGTTCAAATGTATATATTTTGGTATAAATTTTGGTGGAATGCACAAATGTAAATATTATAAATTACTTTAACCCCGCGGAATCGAAGATCTATAGCTTAACCTACGATTGAGATTCTTGTATTTTCAAATTGTTTGTAATTGTACAAAATAAGTAAGCTTATACAATTATAAAAAAATATACTTGAGTTATGAATTAATAATTATATTATTCTACTGTTTTTATAAATACAAATTAAGAGTTTTTTTCATAATAAAAAAGGTAAAAGTCTTATTTGGCCTGTTCATCAAAAATTTCTTCAGGTATTATTAAGTAATTTATATTTATTGATAAAACCACTAAAGCGTTGAATCTCCCCTATAAAAAAAAAACTAAACAAAACATTTAATTTATTGAAAATACCAAGAATATTATTTTAAGTTTATAATAATTTACCTCTGGTATAGAATTCCTTAAATATGTTTTAGACTAATGGTCATATTATTATGTATAGATATTCGGCGGTCACCATATCCGCACACATTAAAAAAAAGGACGCTATTCAAATCAACACACCACTTCCATATACGATATACCTACATAAATATCGGACAGCTTTCCCAAAATCACATCTTTCCATACCCAAATACTATGTATCAATATCGCATATATTTATTTAAAATAACATTATCGTTTAGAACCATAAACCCTGATGTTATGTATCAATAAAGAGTACATTTAAAAATATTTTATAATTTAATCCAATTTTCTTCCAGCAGTAGAGTCAAATTTATTTATCATATTATAATAATTGTTCAAAACAAATTTCACGTTTGTTCGCACAATAAACATGCTACTTAGTATTATGTCGAGAAAAAATTGGTGATGCCCTATTGCGGTCAGAAGACAGGTAATCGTAATTAATCCCAAATATATAACGTATCCCAAATACATATTATGCGTTCACAAAATAACGTATAATTAATAAAATAAAACATCTACAAAATATATTTTTAATAAAATGCAACATAAATAATAGTATATTCATATAAATAGTAAAATAAGTCGAAAACCCGAAACCAAAAATCTAGTTTAAAAAAAATCTGTATACATACCTACTTACTAAATATTTTTAATTATAAAAAAAATTATACTCATTTAAATACTAATATTTTCCGTTCAAATCCGCACACTTCTCTGCATCAATATACCTCACAATTTTCCCATAATGACACCGTTCAATTAAGCACACACTATTATATTTTATTTTTACCTATATTAATAACGCTGCAGACATTTGTCTAAAATACGACCATATAACATTATACCAACTTAATTTTATCTTATTTTTATCAATTTACCTATATTAAAACAATATTTGTATTAATTACAACGATTTATTTGATAACAATCAATAATATTTAATTCTTACTGTCAATCAAATGAGTGTGGCTTTGAATATTGCATCGACTCTCAAAATTTCAAAATGTGTGGTTAAAATGCCAGTAAGTGAGTATGGTTTTGAACGTTATGTGTGCGGTTTTGAATGGCGTAGCAATGAGTAGTAGAAAATGGGCCTAACGCGTCGATCGATAATATTAATGTCATATCATACCTATACCTATTTTACCATTATTTTTTTTTTCTATGATAAACTATTTATACGTAACGAACGCGTTTACGAGACAGAGAAGTATAAAAAACTGGAAGCATTATTATTCGCTATGTGCACGCATTACCTCTTTCAATAATAAGATAATAGGTATAAGTACTAACCTCGTTACAACTCACTTCTTTTAAGGATAATATTAATATACCGTCGTCTATATAATATAATAATATTACTATATGTGCCAACATCAGTTACTTCGTTGCCGAATATCGGAGAACCGACGACCAATTGTTATTATTATTATTTATTGTGACGATAACACTACAGAAATATATTATACTGTAGTCTCGGTGTCGTCGATTTTCGGTTTTCACATTACATTTTCACACGCACCATCCATTTCGATAATTGATAGGTTGGTACTCCATTGACTATAATATTATAAAAAACATTACTTAGATTACTAATCCAACGGTTATAATACTATTTATTTTGATGTTGTTTGTATTTATTTGCTGATTAAAGAACTAAATAATATTATAACTGCAAAACAAAATAACCGAATAAGTCTCTCATTTTCTGTACAGTAGTTGCTTAGATTGGTCGCTGTAATGGAAGGGTTAAATTTAAATTCAATCGTATAAAAAAAATTGCATAGGCATAAAAAACGGTTCTGATCGAAGACGGTCTGCCAGTTATAATATTTCTAAATATATTAAATGATGATATTTTGTGATTAAACTTTTTATAGGAATTTATTTTACTATTAGACTATTAGTATTGCAGTAGTAAAATTAATTTTTTCGGATAAAACAGTTAACAAAATGCAATAATATTTAATAATATAACTGCTTGCATAATATTACAATAGGGCCTATTAGAAAATCATAAACAATTAAAAATACAGTGTTCCATGAGTAAGTATATTGATATAATATTATTGCAAGTACGTTTCACATCAATCATTGAACAATATATTATTGTAACTATTATGGAAATAATAATAATGTAATTTATTATGAGAAGATGTAGATATAATATTTTGAGTTGTAGGTATGGGTTTAGTTTAGGTACCCCGAGATATAATATTATATCTACGTTGGTAGACTTGACCATAAACATAATGGTTTTTATATGGCCAAATCGTTTGTAGTTATAGGATTCTTCTCCAAAAAGAAAAAAAATATTATATTTTTATTATTTTGTACAAACTGCAGGAGGGCATCGGATAGGGAAAACTGCAGGAGGCAAAGCTGTATAGGTCAGAATGGTCCTAGTGGCCGATTTCACCTGAGAATAAGAAGAATTTGTTTGTTTGACACTGTTTCAGGTAAGCCGATTGGTGCATATATCTTCCGTTCATATTTGAATAGGTTATAATAATAATACTTAACGACCGATGACTATAATATAATTATATTATGATGACATTTTTTTTGTCATTATATACGTTTTAGTCATTATACCATTTTCATAATACACTCAAAGCTTGCGTACCCAATATAATACGATGCTCAGTCTTTCGGCATATTTTTGATATTTTTACGGATTTTGTATACATATATAAGAAATATCACGAAGTCGGACAAAATTAAAAACTAACCGTTAAATAATTTTAAGTGGACACATAAAACGTTAGATAGGCATACGAGTATTCATATATTATATATTTCGTATGGAACGTCGTTTTTTTTTTTATTTATCCGGTCTTTTTTATTATTATTCGTTTAAATGCATCACGCGCCATTGGG